AGTGAACTATCCTACATTTGCTCGCAAATGCTGCCTCTCCAGTTTGTTTTTATCCGACAGACACTTTCCATTTCATCACCGTAGCCACTACTGCTACCAGCTAAAAGGTTCTGTCTTCCATTAAATCTTTGTTCTGTCATGTAGAGGTTCCGTCTCGACTTTTCTCTGTAGATGGAGTTGAAGTAGCTCTAGGGAGGACAAAAACGGACCCAAATCGCTTGTTGAACCCTCAGTTCAAGTACGTGAAGACCTATAGCTTCTGCTCCCATTTAATTCCGACTGAAAGAGAACACTAAGTCGGAATAACGTATTAGTGGTGTAACTTTTAATGCTTTTATGCAATCCCGTTTTTCACGCTTCAATATATGGTGAAAATCTCTGTCACCCAGTACAAATCAAAGAATGGAGACTAGCATATATATATAGTTAGATTCCTTACAGGAGTTAGCAACGTCGATTAGCCTTTTTCCAAATGGAAAAAAAGATTGATGCTTTAATTTTTTCTTCTCTCTCAAGATTCAATCTGTGAGTAGATATAATTCGAAAATGATTCAATCAATATTTCATCAGCTCTACTATTAATTGACTTTGCTCTGGGTGGATGGATGGGCTCCATATAGCCCTGGATATAGTTGATATTTCCATGTATCGCTAAAAACAACGATTGCTTGGAAAAACGGGTCGCCAACTGCAAAAGACAGAACGTTACCACACTATAATACAGTTATCACCTATACTAAAAGACCGAGCAGCTATGTGTTGTGTCTATGTACATGCGTGTGGTGGTGGGGTGAGAAAGAATTACTAGGAAAGAACTTTCAGGTTATAACTCTTGACCTGTAAATACACCTTGGGGGAGTAGCGGTGGTAAACGGAGGGACCCAAAGATAGTTGTTGGGTAAATTTTCCCCGCAAATACTTCAAATGCAGGGGTTTTGTAGAAGATTGTATGTGGCTACCAATCACAGGCAGCACTTATACAGGTCTCTCTTGAATGTTTTTCTTTGACAAAGAAAGCGGCAATATGCAAGCAAGAAAACAGTCATGATAGCGTCGGTTCTTATGCTATTCCATCCTGCGCACTACCCCCCTCCGGCAGCTCCCATCGCTGTACGTTTGAAACGCAGACGATAATGATGATCAATCCTCCTGAAAATGTCTACTTTTATTTTATTTAGTCTTCACGAAATCTGAACCTGCTTACGTTACACGCTTTCATTTCCCTGTCCTTGACAGAATTGTTGCACTTGCAGCACTTTCAGGACCAAGGACAGGAACTGTACACATTTAGAACATTTCACAAACAAAAGATGCAACGTTTTGTATCGTTATCGTACACATCCTGTATAAGTTTCAAGCCTTAATTGTATTGGCCGATTTCTAGCCACAACAAAGTTGCAAACCTTCGCAACTTCTTTTAAGGTTCACATGTCTCAAGAAGGGAAATGTTACCGCTGTGTTTTGACTGGAATTAATTTTTGCTTTGTCGTGTTGTTCCCAGTCGGATGTATTGTGTGTTTCTAAAAAAAAAATTAAAAAAAAACGACGGACAATACATACATCGATGAGTGCATAACTTCGGAGACAGTGGCTTGGTTATGTGTCGTTTTTCACTTGACATTATCAGTTTTCCTTTCTTGTGACATAGCTTTAGCCAGCTCTATTCGGCGCACGTAGGTACCAGCCTGGGGGCGTCACAGAGACAGGAAAGAGAAGACAAGTATTCAATAGAAGCGAAGCGTGTTTTTAACAGGTGGCGGTGAGACTGGCTTGTTAAGCATCCATGGCAACACGTAAGCGCTGCAGGACAAAAAGGCAACACATCTTCTCCGTTTTGCCTTAAGCTCTGAAATTCGACTAATTGAGTTTGCTCAGCTAGTTAGCGATAGAAGGATACGGCTAGGGTAGCCTTTGATGCATAAATGACTCACGGGCTTGTGACAGGATCGCCTATTTTCACGGCGGAAGAAAATGCACCGCTATAATGAACAAAATTGGACGTCAGTGAGAGAAGTCCCTGGGGGCATGTACGGTAAACTCTTCAAAGGGTTCTTCTAGTTAGGAAGCTCTTGGAAGTTTAGTTAGCCTGGGGGAAGTCAGGAAGCTACTATTGAAGATTTTTTTTATTTGAGTGTGAGGAAAATTAAGGAAAAGAGGAGGGGGCAGGAAGGATGAAATGGAAAAATGGATGGCACGGGTGGATGGATGGATGAATGGATGGATGGATGGATGGATGGATGGATGGATGGATGGATGGA